CTCCCGCAGAGCCCTTTGCCGTCTGCTGGGGCTGCCCGGGGCCCCTCCCCACGCCTGGCATGGCCCACACGGGCTGCGCCCCACGTCCCCACAGCAGGGCCCGGCGGTGTGGCCGGGGGGCTGTGCTGGCCACCCCCCCACTGCGCCTGCCCCACAGCGTGGATCTCCAGGGCTGCCCAGACGTGTGACAGGGACGGGTGGGCTCTGCCTCGGTGCCATCATGGACAATTGCTCTTGACCTGAAAAAGGCTTTGAGGGAGAAGACACCACTTGTCTTTCTCAGCACGTCGACGCACTCCCAGGCGGTTCTTGCTCTTCCCTTTCCAGGGCTGGGGATGGGGACACGTACAGGCGGCCTTAGCTGCCAGGACCAAGCACCAGCTGGACGCTGTGTCTGCTGGGATGCCCTGGACCGCTCCTGAGCCCTTTGCCTCCTCCAGCACCTGTTCCCACCCACTTTGGTGCCCAGGACCCCAACAGCCCCCTTTCTCCTTTTTTTTCAGGATCCTCTTTGGGGAGAGACCATACTGGTGGGTCCATGAGACGGACTATTACAGCAATGCCTCTGCCCCAGAGATCCAGCAGTTCCCACTCACCTGCGAGACTGGCCCAGGTAGGGTCCCCCGGTGCCTGCCCGGGGACCTGCACATGCTGCTCCCCACTCCAGGTCTCGGTCCCCACGGGGAGGGTGTGCTGGCACGGTCGGTGCCGTGGCTGGCAGCACACCAGCAGCACTTGCCCTGGCTAGCTCAAGCAGGGCCATTATCTTCGCACCGCAGCACCGGCCCCCGCCGCGCTCCCGGGGACACCGGCCGTGCCTGCGGCGGGTGGAGGCAGGGCAGCCCCTGCGCCGAGCAGACCTTGACCCCTGGTGCAGACGTGGCGGTTCAGCACAAACCCCCGCCCGTGCTCGGCCTCAGCCTTGGCCCCGCGCCGTGGGGAAGGGGTTTGCCCAGCTCTGGCTGCGCTTTGCCCGCAGCTTTCCACGGGAGCCAGGGGAGGCTGCAGGCATCCCAGCACTCCCAGCGCGCGCCACCGAGGACGGTCAGTGCCCTCTGCCCTGTCCTGCCTGGCAGATGGGCTGCAGAGCCAGAGCCGTGCTCCCACACTGCCCCTGCTCTGCTGGTCCCTGCTCCAGCCTCACCTGTGCCCAGGACGGAGCCGGGTGCCTGCCATGGGGTGCCCAGCGGCAGAGGGGTGCTGGGTGCTGTGTGGACCCAGTGCTGCAGCCTCTGGAGCTGGGGCTTCTGCTTCGGAGCCCTGCGGACAGGAGGGCGCCACCCACTCTGATGGGGGGGTCTGACCTGGGGCTCTCTTCTGGCCCAGGGAGCCCCTCTGGCCACGCCATGGGCGCAGCAGGCGTGTACTACATCATGGTGACGGCCCTCCTCTCCTCTGCCAAGGGGAAGAAGCAGTCAAGGACACTCAAGTACTGGTAAGCTCTGCACCAAAACCACCGTGCTGGGCAGAGGCTGCTCCGGCCCGAGGAACGCACCGCAGAGCCCATCAGGGCCCAAGCTGCGGG